GTAAACGGTGCCATCAGACATAACATGTGGGTGGGATGAGTGGTTCACTATGCTCACATGGTTCGATATATTTACCTGCGAATTGATGAAGGAAATTTACACTGTATAAGAGGTGTAATACATGCATATACCTAATCTGAATAGTAATTCAAAGAGATAACAAAGGCACGCCGTGCTTTTGTATAGTATTGGCTATAGATAATTTATTTGCGGCTTTGACTTCCAAAACGCGTTATTTTTGTTTAAAATTTCCAATTTCAAGTCTCAAAACGCTGTAGGTAGACTCGCGCATTCATTTGCGCATTCAAGAGCGAGTTTCCCTGCAATTCAGACGGCCGGCTGTCGGGCTATGGTTTTGTCAGCTTTATATCGGGGTGACGTCGGGGCCTCGCTGGATCTGTGAATGTTTCTGTAGGGTATGGGTGAAGCTTCCTATTCCGTCAACTCAAACATTTTCGTTTTTCGTCTTTAGTATAAAAAGTAGCCTCTCTTTGCAAAAAATCAGGAATAAACTGAGAATTTTGACTCCCTTTAAACACAACCTTTCGAACATTATGAGAGAAAAGAAATCTTCAAGGAATTGCTATCGATATGTCTCAGCAAAATGTCATAGGAATTCGTCTAATAGAGAAGATGGTGGATGAAGTTTTAAGTTTCAAGATGTGCGTATTGGAACACACATAATGTTCTTTAACCTTTCCAAACAAATGTGTTGCTAATTTTTATCTAGTACGTAATTAATAGTCCACCCAAAATTAAGATGTCATTTATGTCATACTAAGCCCTTTCCTTAATGGTATGCTAATGGATTGAGAAATATCGTAGGGTCGAACTGCTGGTTGTGTTTCAACTTTACTCAGACAAAATTAAAACTCTCTGGCAATTTTCGAACTTAACGAGTTATCACGGACAGTTCGCATGTTGTTGAATCCGGCACTGAAACTGACATCTGTCATAGAAAATAACAATTACACCCAAAGTAATTAGTGGGTGGTCCCTCGCAACGCGCGCCAGCGAGAAAATGCTCCCCTAGACACGGCCGCCGGGGGAGGCTGCACACGAAACGTGAGAGAGATACGTGTGCGGAGCTACGGACCGTCTCACAGCAAATGACTCATTCGAAAACTTACATTTATTATGTTCAATTTATTCAGTGCACGTTATCCGGTTATTATTTTCTGTTAATATCTGTTCTATGATGTTCAAAGCAAAATGTTAACTTACCCTATTCAGTGTCTCCAATGAGGATGGGTCTATTCTATGGATGACTGGAGATTCAGTGAAAGCGTAGAACTCATCACCAAATGGATATATTGATATCATGGCATTGTCAGAGAAAGTTTCTCCTGGTTTGAAGAGAGCAGAAATTCTAAAGAAAGAACAAAATATTAGAGTATATGATAGTCTATTCAAATATACTCTTCGTTGGAAACGTTAGACAAATATGTTATCAACATTTACTACCTTTGCATAACAGTTATAGTGACACAAATTATATCTGGCCAATACATTTCTTGAAAGCCGTGCGCGAAATTTTGAAATTTTATCTTAAGTCTTTTCCTAAGACATTTTGCGACAATCTTACATAGACTTACATAGAGATAGAACATATTCGCCTTTATCCTTGAAGTAGGAATAAATCGAAGTAATTTTCGCATTTGTCTACTTCACTTTAGATCTTTTAGTTAAGATGAGTACTTTTTTCACCTTCGTGTATTCATTTCTTGCGGATTGCTTGAGTCCAATGTATGCGGCAATGTTTTAGAAAACTGGTACTCAGTTTTCTTGAAGAAATAAGATTATGAACGACAAAAAGAATAATACTGGGGGGGGGGTTGTGTGATGTCTTTTCCTACCCTTTAAAAATTACGTACACTCTGTGCTTGTACACTCTTTGATTAGTATTGAAAGTACTAGTATGAAAACAGTACTGAACTATTGGATTCAAGCTAAGTTCCTAGAGATAATGATATTGCCCCTTATCTAACGCAGCTGGCATGTTCTACCCTACTTCTAATTGTAATTCGAAGACTGAATGGAAGAATGGAGCAAGGGCAAGTGACTTTCAAAGGTGCTCTGATAGGGTTCGACCCTTGGGTGGGGTGTCTACGTGTGAATTGTGGGGCGAGTGGAGCGCATGTGAAAGATTCTCTGTTAGGGTTCGACCCTTTCGAGTGATGACTAATTTTGAATGGTGGGGCGGGGAATTACCTCTGGAAGATGCTCTGGCAGGGGTCGGGCACCGCGCGGGTGCCGAACTCTGTGACGACGATGCGTCGCGCTGCTGCGTTGCGCCGGAAGGTCTGCGACTGCAGGAAGCGGTTCTGGTACGTAACGCGGCCGTCAGCTATGGCGAACCTGCGCAAAGAAAGTAGCATGCATGACATTGCATGACATTTTGGAGAAAGGTAGAGCGATGTCCTCTTACTTGTTGTAAGAAGTATTGTCAATTTTAAGAGTTTGCTTAATTTTCGTTTGATTGATTTTCATTACAAGACCCTTGGATACAAAAAAGCTTCTGTTTATTTTAAACAAATCTATTCACCAAAGTAAAATATGCAAAGTAATATGATGGCATGTTATATCCTATGACATACTTCGTGAGGTGTTAGGATTTCAACACTTGTTACGTATCTTCTTGCAGTACCTGGGTCCTACATTTCCTTCCTGTCCCCTCTTGTACAGAACCCAAAACAGAAAGCATTTTTCATATGAAGTGCCCATTTCTTCTGAGGACCGTTTAATGATACCAAGGCGACGAAATATATCTATAAATTAGAAAATTTTGAAGGTCATACATTTAGAAAATATGTGATGTAATAATGGAAAAGCAGTACCTGGTATTTAGGGTCGTATCACACACTTACGTCCACTTGCTTGTAAGCAGACTACCCGCCGTTGGTATTACCAACCGTAGTTGAAATAAAGTGTCTTCTCGGTCGTTGTGAGTTACCATGGTTTCATTGTCTGGCAGATATCGGAGGGTGCGTGGCGAATGATTTGCATAACGACTACAAAGGTTGAGTTGATTCCACAGATGTTTATTTGGGATCAGATCTAGGGAACATTAGGGACATAGAAACGTCTTTATTCTGCTTTGAGTTACCAGGAACTTGCTGATATTTCTCACCAAGTGATAATCTTTCTGAGAAACGCCATATCTATGGAAAACAATCATATGAACGTAATTGCCGAGGATGGATTCGTAACCCAGTCGGTCGATACTGCTTTTCTCAGTGATGAATAGTTCTTGTAGCTCTTGCTTGTTCATGAATAGCTCTTGCGAAGCCGTTCTGAGGCTCCAACGCTGCCTTCACTACCCATTGCATTTTCTTGCATCAGAATCGTTCCTCGTTTCTCTTCGTCCAAGTAACTGTACATCCGTTTTACGAAGCTGATACAGTCGTTCATTAGTGGAAGCTACGTGTTGCCAAGTAGCATTAGTCCAATTTGAAAACTCGTTATCAAATTCAAATATTTTCGTCAATTGACCTTTGTTAGAGTACGTATTGTCAACAAGGGCGTAGGTATATAAGCTGAAGCCGAAGCGGCGAGGGAGTAGACTTACAGTTTCCAAAAAGTTATTCGCAGTTGTGCCACTAGTCATTTGTTTATTCATGGTTCACTTCCTCCACACAATTCGCACTGTTTCGAGAACTAAACCATCCTCGGCGGAAAACAGATGTTTGACTCTCTTTGCAACTCAGATTAATAACTTTGCTTCCCCAAAACAAAGGAAATGAAATTAA